ATGTGAAAGTAAGAGTATATTAGATCTTAAAAGTTGTCATCACGACAAAAAAAAATGTAAAAAAGCCCAAAGGAGTTCATACAGATTGTTGTTTTGTACTTTTTCCTTAATAGTGTTTTAGAGTTTTTTTTCCACGTCAGCACCTAAAAATCTGCACCTTTCTCATTAGCACATACTGTTGTTCCCCAAGATACACCCTACTCAGTTCACCATTCCCCTGATAATGTCTGGCTTCCCAACTTTTTGCTATTATAAATCGCAATGCCTGAAAATTCTATTAAGTATTTAGTTGTATACTATAAACGATTATGTCTCTAGGCTACATATCTATTAATAAAGAAGTCTAGCCTTGGCTGGTGTGGCTCAGTCCACTGAGCACCAGCCCACAAACTTTCAGTTTGATTCCCAGTCAGGGCGCAGGCCTGGGTTGCAGGCCAGGTTCCCAGATTGGGGCATGTGAGAGGCAACTGGTATATCTTGCACATTGATGTTTCTCTTCCTCTCTTTCTCCCTCCCTCCTCCCTCTAAAAATAAATAAATAAAATCTTAGAAAGTCTAGATTCTGGGTTACATGCATTTTAAACAGTTAGCAACTACCGTCAGAACTGCTCTTCAAAAAGGCTGTGCCAACTCAAACTCACACCACTGTTGTGAGTACTCATTTCATCACCTCCTTAAAAGCAATTAGAAATCCTTTACATTTTTATCAAATGATGACAAAAATGGTATTTTAACTGCATTTCCCTGATTGTTAGTGAAGTTGATTACCTTTCCAGATACCATATATTATCCATTTTCATTTCTTCTATAAATTCTCTGCTCATTTAAATTGAAATGTTCTAGATCCCACTGACAAGTACTAGGTAAATTACATAGGTTTTTAAAATTACATTTTTTTCAAATCCCTATATACTATGGATGACCCAGGCAAATCTGAAGAACTTTTATTGTAAAAATGGGCACCTCGCCGAGCTTCGTCTCTGTGAGGCGTCCACACCCCAGTCCTCTAAGGCTGGCACCACAGACTCTCCCGCACACAGGCAGATGGCAGCTGCTCAGAGGGCAGCTGACTCGTCAGAGCGCGACAACGCTGGAGTCTGAACCCGAAGCCAGGTCTTCCCATCTCCGCGTCTGCGCTCTATCGAACTGTTCTCCAGGCTTTGAATACTCTTAACCCTTCTCTTCAAAACCCTTTCTTTTTTTATTTATTTATCTTTAGAGGGGAAGGGAAGGAGAGAGGGAGAGAAATATCAGTGTGTGGTTGCTTCTTGTGAGTCCCCAGCTGGGAACTGGCCTGCAACCCAGGCATGTGTCCTGACTGGGAATCGAACCGCGATTGTTTGGTTCCCAGGCATGTGCTCAACCCACTAAGCTACACCAGCCAGGGCTTCAAAACCCTTTCTTCCTTTGGTTTCTATGGTACAGTCTGTCCCTGATGTTTCTCTGTTCTTTGTAAATATTCTTCCTGTTTCTTTTGCTACTTCCTCTTCTTCCTCCCTAGGATTTCTAGGCTTCATCTTCACTTAAAGATCACAAGGCCACTGTTAATATAAAACAACAGAACCTTAGGTAACTCCAAGTGTGAAATAATAATGAACTGCTTCTCGCTCATCACCATGACTTACCCACCATCGTCTCTGCTGGTGGTTCTCCTACGGGTGACATTTCTCAGTGGGCCTGCCCTCCCTGCCCACTTCAACCCGGTAAGACTGCAGCTGACCGGGGCTCAGCTCTTGAACTCCTCCCGCCTCCTGCCCTGCAGACTCTCCAGCACAAGTTCATCCATTCCCATGAAGACGACTACCATCTATTTGCTGATGGCTTTGTATGTCCGAGTGGGGAAGACAATCCATGGATGACATTTCACGATTACTGTTCATCCAAAACTAAAGTCCTCATCTTGTCTTCTCGTATGTCCCCTTTCTAACCAGCACTCCGAATCTGAAATCTGGGAGCCTAAATTCTCCCCTATAGTTCACAGCATCTGTCCCCTCTGTCTGTCCTTGCAGTGTTTCTTCCTTACCTTGTTTCTCAACTGAATCATTTGTACATAGAGATCAAAAGACTTGCTGAACAGAAGGAACCAACACACTTGTCCCACTCAGGGCGTAAACCAAGCATGTTGTACTCCTCTTGCAGGCCCAGAACTGAGTTGACATCCCGCCCCAGCATGTCTGCTACGTGAGTCATCCGAGTTCCCATTCCTGCTTCAAACTCTTAGAGAATAAGACCTGGAAGCCCATTTTTAACGACTTCTCTCCAACTCCTATAACCAATCCAGTAACAGCCTTGAAGAACCAATAAACTAAGTCCATTCTCACGACGAAAGGAATCAACCTCAAATAGAAGCAGAAATGGAATTAAACAACTTCCTTTCCCCTGCTATGTAGACCTAGGATAAATGGACCCCTCACAAACATAAACAATTCTTGAATCATCTGCTCCTATAACCACTTTGCCTCAGTCAGCATCCTCACTCAATTAACATATTGCAATAGCCCATTTCTACCTTATACCCCCACAAACTATTGACAGGAACCAGAATGATCTTTTTTTTAAAGATTTTACTTATTTATCCTTAGAGGGGAAGGGAAGGAGAGAGGGAGAGAAACATTAATGTATGGTTGCCTTTTGCGCATCCCCTGCTGGGAACTGGCCTGCACGGAACCGGCCTGCAACCCAGGCATGTGCCCTGACTGGGAATCAACCGCGATTGTCTGGTTCGCAGGCTTGCGCTCAATCCACTGAGCTACACCAGCCAGGGCCCAGAATGTTCTTTTAAAACAGCAAATCAGACCACGCCATCTTCCCCTGACCCTATCCCCATGCTAGCAATAATTTCTGCCCACATTTTAAGAACAAAAGCCAAACCTCTTACCAGGGTTTACAAACCCTACATAATCTGGCTCTTGCCTAACCCTCTGGCCTCATCTCCCACATTCTCCTGCTGTCTACATCACAACCACACTAACCTTTTTGTTCCTAAAATATACCAATCTTTTTCTAGCCTTAGAATTTTTGCACTTGCTATTTCGCCCGTCAGGCATGCTCTCCCTGACCCGATCATGACCAGCCCCTTGTTCCTATTCAGCCTCACTGTAAACGCTCTTCTCGGAGAGGCCTTCTCCAACTGCTCAGTCCCAAGCCCCCTTCCCATCACATGCTGTGACAGCACTCTATCTGAATTTCCTACAAGGCCTTTCTCACCAGCTGATATTCTCCGTTTACTTGTTCACCGTCTATCCCTGCCCACAAGAATGTAAGCTCTGCTCTAACCAACAAGGCTCAGTTGGTTGGGCGTTGTCCTACAAAGCATAAGGTCGCCATTTCGATTCCTGGTCAAGGCACATGCCTAGGTTTGCAGGTTTGATCCCCGGTAAGGGTGTATACAAGAAGCAACCTCTCTCACATCAATGTTTCTCTCCTCTTTCTCCCTCCCTTACCCTCTAAAATTAAATAAATCTTAAAAAAAAAAGAATGTAAGCTCCATTACAGCAGTGAATCTGCCTCGATAGTACATTCATTCATTATTTTATGCCTAAGGCTTAGAACAGTACCTAGCATACAGTAGATGCTAAATATCTGTCCTCAATCTACTCTTATTTGAAGATCATCACTATATTAAGTTCTGACTGTATCAAAGAATAAATAAAATTTTATACTTTTAATAAGTATATCCATTGAGTAAATCCAATCTGTCTAGTTAATGAGAAAGTAAAATTCAAACAAAATTATTTTTTAGATTTTCTAAATCAGGGAATTATAAACAATAATCAGTACGTCTAAAAATTATATTCACACTAAAATCAAATTATATTTTTTCAGCCACTATTTTAAAAAAAACTCTAAAGTTGTTACAAATTTTACCAGCATGAGAGGAAAAACCCTACTGTCCCCAACCAGTAAACAGATAAACAAATCATGGCCTATCCATACAAAGAATATCACTAAGCAATAAAAAGTAATTCATCCTTACTGATACATACAACAATATGGCTCAGTCTTAAACTACGCTCAGTAAAATAAGCCAGACAAAAATGAATATATGAATATTACATGATTCCATTCCTAAAAAGTTCTAGAATAGTGACAGAAAACACATCAGTGGTTACCTGGTAGTGGGGGTAGCAAGAACACAAAGAGGAACTAGAAAACTTTTTGGAATGAGGAGCATGTTCATTACCTTGATTGTGGTGATTGTTTGGTAGATATAAACATATGACAAAACTTATCAAACTGTACACTCTAACCCAGCACAGGTCACAGTCAAAAAACTGAAAGGTGCTATAACCAAACTGATGGCTTAAACGTTATGGGTTGACATCAAACATGAAGCTAGTCATGACTGAACCTGGGCACCCAATATCTGCAACAATATTTAAGAAAAAAGTTTCTTGCCCTGGCTGGTGTGGCTCAGTGGACTGAGTGCTGGCCTGCAAACCTAAAGGTCACCAGTTCGATTCCCAGTGGGGGCACATGCCTGGGTTGCAGGCTGGGTCCCAGACTGGGGGTGTGTAAGAGGCAAGAGATCCATGTGTCTGTCACACACCAATGTTTCTCTCCCTTCCTTCCCCTCTCTCTAAAAATAAATAAATAAAATATTTTTAAAAAAAGAAAAAAAAGTTTGTATCTCTCAGATCAGCCATGATCAGCTGTGATCTATATGCAGGGTTAAATATGTGTGACTTACTGAATATCAATTATAATTAAACTTTTTAAAATCAAATCAGGTACACATCCTTGCAAAAAATCCTTCAATGGCTCTCCACACACAAAAACCAGAATATCTGTTACAAGTTCTATCAACATTATAAGGGATGACCATTTAACTGGAATTAACAGCAAAATAATGTCATAAGCTGACTTCCAACAGCTAGTAAAAACCAGACATGCCTCAACGGATTTTAATTTTTAACTTCAACAAAAATGTGAATAGTAAATTCACAAAAAATGTAAATGTCTACATCAAAAAGCTAAAAATGTGATACACACTCAATTACCTGTAGAAGGTGGTGATTTCTCTGGGTGCTTTGCATTTAAAAGTTTTCTGCTAATAAATATGTAACCACAGGGACATGATTTACATGCAACAGGAACCTGTAGGGAAAAAAGAAAAATATATTATTACTCGTTTTCTGTTAAACTTCTCAGTGTTTACACAGTCTCCTAATTTGAATGATAAAGTGCCTTCAGTAAAAATCATAAATTTATTTAAACACCACCTTCTTACAACAAATTACTTCAGATGGGTATTGTGTCCCATACATCATATTCTAAGGCTTTACAATATCATCAACATAGTAAATGAATCTAAAAGACAAAAGCAGACTATACAGACAACTAGAACAGGAACAGAACCACAAACGTAGAGATCACGTGGAGGATTATTGGGGGAAAGGTTCAGGGATTGGGAAGCACAGTTGGTAGGTACAAAACAGACAGGGGATGTTACAGACAGTATAGGATATAAAGAAACCAAAGCACTCACATGCATGACGGGGGACAGGAACTTGGGGGTGGGGGCTTCCTGGAGGGAAGGTAGGTACCAGGCTGAGGGGGGCAAAGGGGGGAAATTTGGGACAACTGTTACAGTAAAATCAAAATATACTTTAATAAAAAATTATTGAATAGGATGGACAATTACAATAATATTAATCTCTTAAATCACAGTACAACACGGCCTGGCTGGAGCAGCGTTGGTAGGAGCAGTGTCCCACACACCAAAAGGCTGCAGGTTTGATCCCTGGTCGCGGAGTGTATGTATGGGAGGCAACCAATTCACATTTCTTTCTTACACTGATGTTTCTCTCTCTCCCCCTCCTCTCTCTAAAACCAATAAACATATGCTCTGAGGAAGATTTTTAAAAAGCATTTAAATAATAGTATAAGTTGGATTTTAAACAACCAGCCTAAAATTCCTTCAAATTTTAGTTGCAATGCCAAAGGTAATGGTAATGAAAGTTCTAATGCTACACTTTCAGGAATTTAAAATAGAAAAAAAAAATCCAAAATTTGGTTACTGATGGCTTATCGTGTATCAATTTATTTTGTGAAAAATGTATTTAGCTTGTATGTTTTACAAGTAAAACAGGTTAAAAAAACTGCAAGAAACAAAATCTCAGCCCTATATTGTTTTACTGGCTTTAAAATTCTCTAAATAACCACATCATAGAAAACTTGTACTAGTTGTGGCTAGAAGAATCAGTTGACTATAGTGGATATGTTTGTTCTATGTCACATAAAATTTTCTACAAATGAAAAAAATCCCAGCTGCTCTAGTTTTAAAAATTAATGCAAAACAGAAACATTAAAAAATGTCCCGGTACACAACAGATACCAGGAACATGAATCAGGGGCACCACTACACACAAAATGGCTCAGTAATTTCGGTTTAGTGGATGTGAAACACCCCTGAAAATGAAAAGTATGTAATGTGGTTTAGATATTTCAAAACTGTATTTTCAATAGAGGAATGTGAAGGGGATGCTCTAAAGCAACTAAAAATTGAGGCCTGTCTTGTTTGCCGCTCTCTGTATCTGTTTTCAAACTTCCACACATAGTCTGTGTGCGTATCTTCCACTGGAGCAATCTTGCCAAACTTCAAAGATTTTACATTTATATTTTATTAACTAAATTCTAGTTTCATTTTTGTCAAGCAACTTAGCATGTTTGAGCAGTATTCTAATGCTGTTTAAAATAATTTTCTGAATTATAATTCTTTTCTCGTTTATAAGAAGCTTGCACTTTCAAGTTATGAGAATGTTAAAATTATTATTTTTTCAACTCAGTTACATCAGTAAAAGATAAACCACTTTTAAGAATCACCAAAAGTTTTAATTAGGGCCATGTAGGTTATATCCTCCTAAATATCTAGGAGCAAAGCAAACCACCATTTTAAATTATGTAGCGGCTTGCTGTGGACTGACCCTCCTCCCACCACAAAGCCCCAATAAGATGGCACTTGGAGATGAGATACTGAGGGTTACGTAAGGTTAGGCTGTGGGGCCCTCAGGATGAGATCAGTGCCAGGAAATGAAGAAACACCAGAGAGCTCTCTCTGCAAATACAGTGGACGTGCAGTCTCCAGGCTGTGAGAAATAAATTACTGTCGTTTGAGTCATCCAATGGACTGAATTTTGTTACTGCAGCTACAGGGGGGATTGTGTGTGTAAAACAAAATTAATGTGATTTTTTCCAAATAAAACGCTGACCGAGTTTTGCTGAACCAGTTACAGAGACTCCTACAAGTTTATTACACTTTCCTCTCTTTGACCAGATCAAAAGCAGGTTATTTTCCCCCAAAATGTTACTTTATGCCAAGTAAAAATAAAAAGTCAGGATTTGCAATAACTTGTGTCCTACAGAAACTGGAATGCACAATGAATACCATGCAAACCTTATACTTCTGCACTAGTAATTGGAACAAATGGAAGTCATTTAAACACTGAAATTAAACACCTTTAAAGAAATCTAAATCACAAAGTCCAATTTTGTTAGAATTTAACAAATTTGGTTTATTGGTAACAACAGTTTAACTCTTCATTTGGGAAAACATGACTAAGTTATTTTTATAATGCACACTCAAACTGCTAAGATCAATGAACTGTAATTCTCCCTCCACAATCTTCCTCCGATCATCTCTACCGCTGCCCATAAAAGATACCGAATAAATCGGTACATTTGCTTAAAAGATTTGATCAACCTGTAAGACTACTCCTTCGAGAATGCACTGAAATCAGCGTATTGAAAGTCTCCAGCCATTTTAAATTACTCCCGATCAAAAAAAAAAAAAGAAAAGAAAAAAACGGAAAGGGGGAGGAGAGAGGTAGTCATTTTGAAATAATTCTCTCGGTGGAAAATAAAAAACACACCCAGATCCACATGCTGGCATGAAATAAGAGCCCTACGAATGGTTTTAATTGAGAGTTTTAACTCATTAGATTGCAAGGCTTTGAGGTCCGTATATTACTCCAGTAAAGAATGGGGCGTGCTTAAACTGAAACACAGGAAAACGAGAATTTTTAACTTACAGCTCCAACACCATTAATTCTGTGCAGAAAGCAGGTATTTAAAACGCATGAAACCACATACGTATGTTTTCAAAGATCTGGCAGCAGGAACGCCAAGAGTTTCCCAGAGATCCCGCTGTGGGGGGTGCGCGTGGGGGGCGCCCCGAAAGGCAAGGCTTCACGGGGGCGCTATGAAATCCCGTTCCATGAACCACAGTGTAGGGAGGGACTTCACGATGATTCAGGTCAGAAATAGAGGAAGTACATTCGGGAGGAAATCTCCGAACTCGCCGAAATTTAAAACCATTACACTGCGGCCCCTTTTGTCACCCGCGGGCTGGGACAGTCCGCGGTCTCCGCACACGTCCGACCGGAACAAAGCCGCCCTGAGGGGCCCCACGGGGCTCTCGGAACCTGGACGCCGCTCCCGCCGAGAACTCGGCGTCCCCGCGGGGCTGAAGGGCGCAGACCCCGCCACTGACCCACGAGCCGCCCGGCCACTCGAGGACCAGCCCACGCCCCCTTCCGCGCCGCCGACAGCAAGACCCACACCCGCCGTCTCCCCGACGTCACCCCGCTGCCAGGTGCGCGCGGCCCCGGCCCGCCCCCGCAGTCCCGCCGCCACCCCCGCTCGGCCGCCCGGACCCTCGGCCCCCGGACCCGGCGACGCGGCCTCTCCACAGCCAACCGCCGCGGCAACGGCCGGCCGCCCACCGGCCCGCAGCCCACCTGTTGGTCGCATTCGGGGCACGATTTGGTGGCCATCTTCACTTTCTTGGCTCGACTTGCGGACATGCTCCCCTACCGCCACGGCCGCGGCTGCGGCGGCTCCGACTCCTCCCCGCCAGCTCCACAGCGGGTCGGCCTCGCCACCCGGCCCCGCTGCCCAGACTGAGGCGCTGCCGGGTGCGCGCGCGCGCGCCGCCTGCGCGAGGCCGCGCGGAGCCTGCGTGCGGTGGGGGGGGGGGGGAGACGGGGCGCGGCGTGGCGTGCGCCGGCTCCGTGAGGCGTCAAACCGCGCTCCCACCCAGCCCCCCTCGCCGGCCGCAGAGCGCGTCGGTATTCTCACGAGAGCGGCGGGGCCGACCCCCGGGCGCAACAATGGCCACGCCTCCTCTCTGTTCCGACGTCGGCGTGAGGGCGTGTCGGAAGGCAGCGACGGGCGTTGGAGTCGACCAATGAGAACACAGAATGCTGAAAGCCGCGGGGCACGCCTCCCCCGGGAAGAAGGAGACCGGCAGTGTGAGAGGGAGTGGGAGGTAAAGCGCCCAGCACCGGTGCAGGCGTTTACTCAACTTCAGTAACTGTTAGCAGGTCTAAACATTGAGCACAAGTAGTAGACATCTGATGAGTCTACTATGTATTAAGCCCTGGAGTCGGTGCCTCGAGATATAAAACTGGTTGTCAAATATTTATTCAGTGCCAAATCTGCCACACAAATGTGAATACCAGGAAGTGCTGCCCTAAAAAAACACGCTGTCTAGTGTAAACGACCTAACGTTCGAATCTGGAGTTGTGTTGTTGATGGGAAGAGTTAATCGGTTGACCAGAACGTTCTATCAAAGTTTAAAGTACACCTAGCGTTTGATCTAGCAATCCTATCCCTAAGAATTTGAAGAAAGATACTCATATTCTTTCTCCACCCAAATTCGTTTGTATGGGAGATGTTGCCCTTTGCAATATTGCTTGTCTGAGCAAAATCAGAAACAGCCCAGGTGTGCATCAACAAACTGCCTGGGCAAATTAAGGGACCCGCACAACGGAATACCACTGCAGGTCCTCAAAAGAATTAGGTGACATATAAGGTGACATATCGACACATCTATATAAGGTGACATAACGACATCCAAAATGGTTGATTGGAAAAATAAGGTACAGAACACCAGAGGGGTAGGAGAAAGTCTTGTTTTTCATTCCATTTCATTCCATAGCCTATTACATTACTTGAATTTTCTACTAGCTCAACCTCGTATGGTTGTTCCCTCCCTCCGCCCCCCCCCCCAAAAAAAAAGGAAAAAGAATTTGTACAGAGGTACTGCGGATGCCACCTGACCCACTGTTGAGGGATTTCGTAGTCCTAGAAGGCTTTCTAGAAGAGTTGCCTCCAAAGCTGAATCCCTAAGGATGTCAGGTGGAGCTGCCCAATCACAGGTGAAGACAGACGAAGGGGATGGGGCAGTGCAAGCAATCGCAGTTTGGTGGTGTGGGGCGCACCGAGTGCAGGGCAGAGGTAAGGCTGGAGAGGTAGGCCATCCTCAGCTATGCAGGGTCTTGGTACCCTGGGGAGTTCATCCTGGGGCAACACAGATTTTAAGGGGAAGAGTAACAGGATTCGATTTGAAGTGTAGAATACTTGGTCCAGCAAAATTCCTCAGGTATCAGACCGAAGCACAGGGAGGCATGGACAGTGAAGGGGAGGGACAGGGCAGGGTTTAGGAAATAAGACCACAGGGAATACTTGAGACCCTCCTCCCCAGCATATGTTGTCAGTTTTAGCTCACATAAACTCTTATAAAAATATAAAGCCATACTAGCAAAACTTGAGGAGCTATCTTGTTGGGGGTTAAGGGGTGGTCAGGGACACTTCCTGGGTCACTCTCAAGTTTCTGTTGCAAAGAACTGGAGGAACAGACCTCAATAGTTGAGGAAGACCGTACCTGTTTTCCCTGGAGAATGGTGTATGGCATGAGGCGGGAACCAGATGCCGCAATCCAGGCCCCGAGGAATTTTCTGAAGGTTCCTTTTTCTGGAAACCCCCAAAAAGATCACTTGGCTGGGGTGAGTGCTAAGATGTCTTTAACTATGGGGCTGCGGACGGGGTGTTTAAAATGGTTACTGTGTCCTGGCTGGTGTGGTTTGGTGGATTGAGTGCTGGCCTATGAACCAAAAGGTTGCCGGTTCGATTCTCCATCAGGATTGTGGGCCAGGTCTCCAGTGGGGGGTGAACAAGAAGCAACCAATCAATGTTTCTATCCCTCTCTTTCTCCCTCCCTTCTCCTCTATCTAAAAATAGTAAAATCTTTCAAAAAATAAAATGAAATGGTTAATGTGCCACACTGACAGTGGCTGACGCCACTCCATTCGGGTCCCCCCTTCCCTCTAGCTGCCTGTAACTAGGAGTGGTCATGTGGTGTATATCTGGTCAGTAAAATATGAACTGAAATCTGCTGAGTGGAATTGTTGGAAAGTTATAATTCCTGATAAAAACAAACTCATATAAAAAATGTCTCATATAAGAAAAGTCCTTTGCCTTTCGCACTTATTATCTGCAGCATGAACACGAGGCCCTGAAGGTACCATCGTACAACAGTGAGACAATGAGGCGTTGCACTAGTTATCTATGGTTACACAACAAATTACTGCAAAACTGAGTGGCTTCCCACAGCAACACTGTCTCAGTGTCTGTGGGTCGGCAGTCTCACCTGAGTGCTTAACCACGGGGACCCACGTGCAAGCTGACTCACTGCACTGTGGCAGGCCCCAGCCCCATGGCTCTCCACAAAGCTGCCTCACAGCATGGCCACTGCGTGGCTCCTCCTAGGAGTGATCTGAGAACCAGAAAGAACACACACGGCAGAAGCCACGTGCCTTTCATGACTTAATCTCCGAAATGGCATCCATCACTCCTGCTGAATTCTAGCAGGAGCAGGTCCCTCAGTGCGGCCCACTCAGTGACAGGAAAGTAATTACACAAGGGCAAGAGTGGCAAGGATCATTGAGAGCCGTCTCAGAGCCCACCTGCCCAGGGAATTATGATCAATCCACCGAGAATGAGCAGAAAGCTAAGTCCCTGGGTCCCCAACAGCATGGTCGCGTAAGCTGCCCGTCATGGCCTGCACCCCCAAATTCCTTATAATGTGAAAGGAGGAAAATAGCTCAAAACAAGATACAGCTCCTCACCCACCAGGGTAACATTAAAAAGACCATCAACATCAAACATTAGTGAATAGAAACATAAAATGGTGTAAGCTAAATTCACATATAGCCTATGACCCAAGTTCTCCAGTCTTAGGTGTTTATCCAAGAGAAATGGAAACATATGTCCACAGAAAGACTGCAAGAATATTTGTAACAGCTTTATTTATAATAGGCCCAAATTGGGGAAGATCACACACAAATGTCTATCACACAGATTAGTACACAAATTGTGTTATATTCATTTAATGGGACCCCATTCAGCTTTTAAAAGGAACAAATTACTAATACAACCAAATGGATGAATCTCAAAATCACGCTTAGCAGAAGAGGTCTCACACAGAAGAGCACACATTGTACAATTTCACTTCATTCAGTCCCAGGACAAAACTGCGCCACAGTAGAAATTAGAGCAGTGTCCGCCTCCTGGGGGGAGGGCACAGTAAGGATGAGGATAAAATGAAAGGGGTGCGAAGGAATTTCTGGGCTGGTGGTGACAGTCTGCACCTCAACAGGGGTTGTGTTCCACAGCATTTGCATGTGCCAAAACATATCCAATAGTGCACTTGAGATTTGGGTGTTTTACTGAATTTAAATCTTCCCCAGCAGGAGTCTTAAGCAGATATGCTTAAGTACATAGTAATATGTACTAAGGCCTGCACATCAAAAAATAAAAATACAGAAGAGTACACGGTAAAACGAGTGTATATAGTAGAATGTCAGTGGTACATCCTAGGTGGTTGGCATACAAGTGACCACTGTATAATTCAAGTATTTCATACGCTTAAAAATGTTCATGAGTTACAGAAAATAAAACCTACGCATTTAAGCCACTGCTCATTAGGTGTTTAATGATTTGCTGTCAGACATATCCTTACTTGCAATGAAGCAAGGGTTCTCTACAAAGTGGATGAAACTGGCCCTGGCCTTTATTCATTCATACATTCACTAGGTACCTACTACATGCTAGATCTTGTGGCCTTGATGGGGATATGCTCTTGTGAGCCAAAACAAGGTCCCTGCTGTTGTGAATCTCACAGAGAAGATATACACATACTATCAAACAAATAAATATATTACGATTGTGATTATGATTGTGAAGGAACAACACTGAGGCTCTAAGGCCATTGTCAAGGGGGCCTGACCTGTGGTGTTGGGTTGGGACAATCAGGGAGAAGTCTGTGATGGGTAGTTAATAAAGTGAAGAGGAACAGCAAATACTCAGACGGAAAGCACATCATGGACAAATTAACCAAGGTCAAAGAAAGTGAAAGGAGGATATTGTGGCTGAAGCACCAAAAGAGAAAGAAAGAATCCAATACACTGAGGACGGGTGCTTGGAGAGCCCATTTTTCACAGGCTTTTTTTCTATCCTCACCCAAGGACATTTTCTCACTGCTATTGAAGAGAAAGGTAAAGACAAACTGATGCAAGAGAGAAGCACTGATCGGTCACCTCCTGGACACACCCAGCCAGGGGACTGGACCTGCCACCTAGACATGTGCTCTGACCAGGCATTGAACCCAGGACCTTTTGGTTAAGGGATGATGCTCCAACAACCGAGCCACACCTGCCAGGGATCCAATGACTTTGAGGCTATTCCTAAGGTTGCTCAGGACCCTTCCTGTGTGCAACTACAGCGGCTGCAGTGGCGCCCGATTCACAATGAGCAATGAGCCCAGGTGAGAGCTTCTTAAGTAACAGGTATTATGTACATGATAAACCAAAATGGTTTATTCAAAGCCACTGTTTCAAAAAATTTTAATTAAGTTTATTGGGACAATATTGGTTAACAAGATTCCACGAGTTTCCAGTGCAGATTTCTACGATACATGATCTGTGTATTGAATGGGTGCCCACGCTTTAGTCCTCTCTATAATCAGGACCCAGGCCACCTTGGGGAGGTTGCGGGTGGGGTTTTGGGGGGTGAGATGTAGCAGCCTCCATTCCCACTCCCTCACTTGGATGCTCACATCAAGGTTTCTGTCGAGGAGCCTTTTACAGCTTCTCTTTCTTTCTGGGAAAAGGAGACTGGTTTCTAAATGTATTCAAAATGTGTCCTGAGAGCCAGAGAACCTTTGAGGCCACTCCTCCCCCCGAGCACTCTTTGCTGGGTCTCTGCATGGCCGACTCCTAGGCAATCTTTCACACACACGTACACA